TTTTTAATAAATTAAAAAACTATAATAATCATAAAATAAAAAAATTAATTTTAATAATTAAAAATATGATAATAATATCACTCAAAAATATCTTTATTTTCTGGTTGTAGCAACTCACGAAAAAAAAGAGAAGAAGAAAAGAAATATCATGTTTTCACATTCGCACACTTCAAAATTATGATGGAAAATATGTTCAAAAAAAAAAATTTATGATGGAAAATGATTTTGAAGGAAACGTGGAAATATCTTGTTTTCACATTCGCACAATTGTAATCCATGATGTTATAGACTTGGTCGGTCTTGTAGAAAACGTGGGGAATAAGTTATCCGTGTTGACTAATTAAGATGGCGGAAACTAAGATGGCGGAAACTTGCATTTCACGTGCGTGATTTAGTAATCACTTATTATCTTAGAAAACAGTATATAGTTTGCACTCTTATGTCTTAAGTTTAATATTTTTACTAACACCTTTAATATACTAACCTCTAATTATTGTTTTTATTGAAAAAAAAAAAAGATGAGGGAACTCAATTTTGCTGATGACATCGAAAAACCAAACTAATAGGCATCTTTCTCTTCTATTTCCTCTCACCACCCACACCCTTTGAACCAATGTTTTTGGACCTGGCTCGGCCCGGCTGGTTGAACCGGTTGAATCGGACCCGGACTTGAAAACGGGCCGGTTGAATACTTCAACCCGTTTAAGCAAATGGCCCGTTGAAACCCGTTGAAACCGGTCAGACCTGTCCCGCCCGTTAAACTCGTGCGACCCGTTGCAACCGGTCGGGCTGAAATTTTCATCATCTTCTCGTTCGTCGATTGTCCGTTGATTGTCCGCTGATCATCCGCCGACCGTTCGTCGATCGTCTCTTCCATCGATCTTCTCGTCCGTCATCTTCTTGTCCGCGATGGTCCACCGATCCTCTCTTCCGCGATCGTTCGCCGATCTTCTCTACCGCCAATCGTCCGCCGATCATCTTTTCCGCCGAGCGTCCGCCGATCCTCTCCTCCGTCGCTGCACTTCTTCTCTTTCGCCGATCATCTTCATCTCCCTCGTCTGTTCTGCTCAAAACGATTTGTATCGTTTTCGGGTGAAACCGTGAAGGTAAGGTATAAAAGCAAAATTCAATAAAAAATTAAAAATGCCCAAAAAAAAAGTTTTTTAGTTGACTTTAGTTGACCGGTTGAACCGATCGGGTGAACCGGTTCAACCTGTTGACTCGGACCCGGTGGTCAAAACGGGTCAGCCACCGGGCCGGGTCCAAAAACATTGCTTTGAACCCACAGACCTTGGATGGAACGAAGTTATTTATTTTGGGTGAACATTTAGGTAAAAATTCATTTTTAACTCCTCACCTTACAAAATTTAAAGGTTTTAGTCATTTACCTTATATTATGATACTTTTAATCTCTTATCTTATTAGATTCGTAAGTTTTAACCCATTACTTATTAAAATTGAAGAAAATAACCCTCAATTTAAATTGAAGAAAAATAGCCCTCAGTTTAAACTGACTATTAATTCTGTTAACTGAAAGTAGATTTTTATCAACTAACAGTCAACTAATAATCGATTAACAGAATTAATGAAATATTATAAAATTAGTTCTGTTAATTCTATTAGTTGAAAAAAGATTTTTAACAGCTAATAGTCAACTAACAAAACTAATAAAATGTTACAAATTCATGGTTATTCTCTTTAATTTTAATATGTGATGAGTTCAAAACTACAAATCTTATAAGATGAGGGATTAAAAATGTCATCATATAAGGTAAGAAGTTAAAACCTTCAAATTTAACAAGATGAGGGGCTAAAAGTAGGGTTTTACCAAACATATATAAGTCAATTCCTAAAATTAGTAAATTAAAAAAAATTAATAAATGACTTTCTCATATACATTAGAATAATATTAAATATTTGTAATTAAATCAAACAATTAACTCAGTTTGAAAAAAGAATTCTAATTGATATTAAAGAAAATTTATTAATTAAATTAAGATAAAAAGTTCAAAATACTGAAGAATACAGTTAAGAAATTTTCTTTAATCTAAAACAAATTTCTTTCTTGGAATTGAGCTAATTACTCAATTTGTTTTTATGTATATGATTAAGTCATCTACTAATTATTTTTAATTTATTAATTTTTTTTAATTTATTAATTTTTTAGAATTAAATTATTATACTTTTAATTTTTAAAAATTGATCATGTAAATATTTTATTCTTATATTAACACATAGTGGTTAACAGATTTCGTTAGTTTATAGATTAAAAATTTTAAACTTTTAAGTTTAAAAAGATAAACTTTTATACTATAAGGTGAGGAATTAAAAGTTTCAAACATAATAAGATAAAGAGTTAAATGTATACTTTTGCCCTGTAATTTGAGTGGTTTCGGAAGGGCAAAATGGACATTTCAAAATATTACGTCGCTTATAAATGGAAACTCCGTCGGCTAATCAGATTGCATTATTCTTCGCTCCCTCTCCTGTTCTCTGG